CTGCTATCATCTTTGTCACATTCACTGCCAAGACATGCAGTCCTGTGATTATGAATTTTGCTGGCTCACAGTAAGTCACCATAATTGCAATTAGTGTAAAAGGTCAGTATGGTTTATGCTCCGGAGCACAGAGGTGAAATGGTGTTTCATCATTCTGACAGAACATTAGCAATGCGCAGCATGAATTTCTTCACATGTGTGCGTTTACTACACAGCGTCACTTACAATCGATTTCCCCCATTTGTCACCTCCTGCTGATTTTGCAGAATGCAAGCTACCGTCCAATCGTTTTAGGGGCTCATGTCAGAACAGAGTCATTAAAGAAAGTCTAAAATTGATAGGACAAAAATTGGAAGGGACTTTTTTGTGTGTAGCTCAGCCTGAAGGTCCAGATCACAAAATGTAAATCATTTTTACAAAGGTTCGGGGGACTCGTCAAAAACACGGTTTCTGAATAAGAGGAGTAGGTTTATTAGGATTACAAGAGGCTACTACTTCCAATGGACAACAGTATAAAATAAAATGGTCACATCAAGAGTGTAGGGGTGTGCGTACTGTCTGCTACGTGTGCATAACATACATTCAGTTCACAACTTTGTGTCGCACCATGAAATGATGTCTTCAGTCCAGCTCTGGTCTTGACCATCAGACAGAGCACAGAGCCATTCTCTTGCTAATCGACTCAAAGACCCCAAGCAGCCACTGCCAGAACTCCACCCAAATATTCATACTGCTGTACTTGGTATGCTTTGCAGATTTAGTCTGGCGACAGCTCAGGGTAGGGAAGTTATGCAAAGATGTGAACAGAGAACACATCACTGTTTGTCAGGATGGGAATGAGCCCTGGCTTATGTGTATATCAGGCTGCGCCGTGTCTCTATCAGCAAGATGCGACTCATTTCACGACGGGCCGGGCACTATCACGCAATCTGTCACAAGTGACAGAAATACAAAAAAAATCTACACCTCAGGGAACAATGCAGGGACGTGATTAGGTCCAGAATGAAGAGCTTTAGGTCCCCGTTGGTGGCCAGGAGCTGCAGAAGCTGGACAGCTTGTATTAATGTTGAAGTAATTTCCATTAAGAGCCAAATCCAACTATAGCAATTAGCGGTGACAAATGACTGTTGTTGAATGGTGTTGTCCCTCTCTGCCGCATGTCTCTGGCTCGCTTTGCATCACAGGATTTCTTTCAATTGAACAATGTGCTATTGTTCGCAGCTGCATTATCGCTTTCAATGTGGTCATTGGATATTAGTATGGGCAGATAGCGCCAAAATGTGCTTGTAAAACGTGTTTATGTTAAAATCAGGGAAACTAAAGTAATTTTGCTAAGGTTACTAGTGCTGCAGGGTGACACAAACATTTTAAGGGGGCGATTTAAGTGTAGGAATGCAGAGGGCTCACTTGATGAAAGCATACTCATACGTTTTCCTGCTGCATAGAAAGTGCTTCGGGGTATATTCACTTCATGGTGCCAGCAAATCTTTAACAGACACTGAACAACCCTGGTACAGGTGTACTCAAAACAAAACTGATAAACTTATGTGTTTAGTGACAAAATACAACTGTCATCTCCCTCTTCTAGAAACATGTTACAAATTATCTCAAGAAGGTCAATTAAGAAAATAGTACGGAAACTATTTTTTTTCAATTATTGAAAAAAAATACTTTCTTTAAACAAAAGCTTTGCTAGATAATCTACTACTTTCTTGAAAATGAGAAATACCGGAACTTAAATCTCAAGGCAAGGATCTTGAAAAAGTGGGGTAGCAACAAATGCAGCCATCATATGATAAGCAAAATTAGTGAATTTCAGCTCAGTATTGTCAGTGCTGATAAAGTTAATGCTGACAACTGTGTCAGGTCCACATATAATTTAACTATGCTGAGCAGCAATTTAAGTGCGAGATGAGGAATGAAAATGCTATGAAAAATAAATGATTTTATTTTAGTTTATGCAACATCTGATAAATATAGAGATGAATATAAAGAGTAAATCAATCAGAACAACTTTTAATGCAACACCAACAATTACTAAACTTTTTCTCCATGAGAACATGACAAAAAGTAATAAATGTCGTTTATTGTGAGATTATGAAAAACATATGTTTATGATAAAAATATTTAAAGCCAGAGTGGAGCTTGCAATCAACAAAGGAGGGATGTGAATGAGCTGTGGATTATATATATTAATTAATATAATTATATATATATAATTATTTATGCTCAGAGTGTGTCTCTGGGTAAAAAAGTAAGGTCCCAGAGGAGAACTCAAAACAATCACGTTTCGGACATTTTGATGAAAAAAAGATACTTGTAGAGGTGAAAACTATATAGAACTACATTAGGTTGATTGAAACCAAAAAATGTGTTGATTGCAAGCTCCACTCTGGCTTTAAATGTTTTCCCATTTAGTTTAGAAACATATATCTGAGAAAAATGATAGCTATTACCACATAAAAAAGATTGTTTTGTTGTTTAAGTCGCATTTTAACTTTGAATGTTTCAGGAGTAGTCAGTGGATATTTTATTTTTGTGACAACATCCAGTGGGATCATGTTTCATCCCAGTCCCATTGATAACAACAGAGTGCATGTTTGCAAATTCTTTCAAATCCAAATGTAAGTTAAAATTATAATGACATATATTTGAAATAATAATAATAGCTCACTGTAACTTAATTGAAGGATGTTAAAGGTTGTTACAGAGGAGATGAGAAGTTCTCCTGGTGGGGAGAGCAAACCCATGTAGAGGCTGAGTCCGGGTCCAAAACGTCTTAGGTTGACCACCATCAGAATATCTGACTTCATTATACAAGTTGTGACTCAGTGACTCAGCTGGTGAATGTTTTACAGCTGTTGCCTAACGCTGGATTTAAGCTGCTCTACAGGTAAAAAGCTTTGTCTTTAATTTTCTATTCATGCACTGAATATTACTAGGCTTTTATAGTAGACCAGATTTACATGGAAGTTTAGAGCCATGTTATAAGACTCACCGGATGTGCAGTTATCTTGCTGAAATAAGCGAATCCTTCCTCGATAAAGACATTATCTGGGCTTTAGTACACGAAGCCCCATTGGGCATCATTTTTCATTGAGATTGGTCAGATTTGAACATTCCCCAGAATATAAAACACTGCAGTTTTTTTCTCTCAAAATCTGAAACTCTCATTTGTTGCCATTAACGTTAAGATCGTACTATTTCTCTATATTCTAGCATCTTCATCACAATATTGTTGTGATCAATCAATTTAAAATGAGCATGCAATTTTCAAAGGATAGTATATTCATAATTCATACAGCCTTTTCAATTAACCATTTAGTCAGTTAGATTGTGTTCTGTATATGTTCTGACAGTATGCAAAATCCTTAAATGGCAAAAGTCCTTCAAAGTTTCTAAATCAAGCTTAAAAGGCCAAATTAGTTCAGAGTGAAAGCTTGAAAAACTTAAATGACTTGTGACTTTGACACTTTTCTGTGAAGATGTGAGCTTTCCTGTCACCTCTTTAGGTAAATGTATAGTTGGAGTTTTGTGCTGTAGTCATTTTACAAATGGAAGGCAACGGAAAAAAATAAAATATTTGTTTTGACCTAATTTTCAAGTCAGCTCATAAGCCCTTTTCTAATTCTCAATGCTGGATCATTCCAACCAAATCATGCATAATGGGATTTAGGGAAGAGATGTTTGCATTTTCTCCAAAAACTGTTCTGTCCTAGGAGAAGGATGAGCAGCTCGGGTATCCACAGCCAGACTTATTAAATCTTTTTCTATGCAAATTGACCACAGATTACGATGGAATTTATTAAACTGTGTCTGGGAATCCTTGAAGACTCCAAAATTGGTCGAGGAAACTCCAGACTTCAGGGTTGTCATGGCACCCAGTGTTAAGTGGTGTAAGCAGTAATGAGGAACATTCAGAGGTACAGCCTCTCCTTGTGGGGGTGAAATTTATCTAGATAAAATTGACAGGGGTCTCAAGAGTGCTTGCAAATTGGAGAGGTAATTGCCAAGAAACTTGATGCTGACTTTGTGTATCCAGCAGAGGGCAAGCTAACTCTAGTGTAGACTGATTTGAACACACGGGACACCAAGAGACATCTAATCCTGGGCAGCCCGATGGCACTGACTGATGAGTGAACCCTACCCTCATCCCCACCCCACAAACCTGCAAATCCACTGCTGCTGACAGCACGAAATATAACAACCTGACCTGGAAATGGAACATAATTATTTAATATTCTTTAAGTCTTTCAAATATGAGATACCTGACAATAAAATCAAATTTAAAATTTAAATTGCAATATCAATATCAAAAAAGACAACCGCAGCTTGTGATCTATTTCTATTAACATCCTCCTTATAGACACAGATCTGCCACCAAGTCCTCAGAGTATCACAAATTAAACAGATACTATGCGTCATTTTTGACCCAATAAAATCACAATCGATGGGAAACTTGTGTAACATGAGCTAACTTTGATACAAATGAGAGTGGAAATCGAATTGCTTAACCGATACCCACCGATTTGTATTCTATAGTAACAGAACTGTTGTTTGAGAATACTAGTAGATGTGCTCAGCGTGTTCAAAATTATGATATAGTGTGAATCCGAAAGGCTCAAAATCATCCGATTTAAAGAAGCCAGTCTGCATAACTAAAACTTAAGCAAACATTCCGTATCCTGATCGTTCCTCTTTCTCTGCAGATGGGGAGCCTATCATCAGCTACGTTAGAGTGCTTTTAAAGTGCTGCAACATCAGCCCTCGTTGACAGAGGTGAGCCCCAAAGATGAGGAAAGATTTCTCATGCACGAGATGGAAGAAAATGTTTTAAAAAACACAGCATACCTTCTCTTGTTTTGGGGTTCCCCTGCGATAGTTCCCCGCACCTGCTGATGAGTTCATGGTCCAGTGTAAAAATAGTCTTCAGTGCTAAAATATTCTCCTGAAACCGTCTGAACGATCAGCTAAGATCTTCCCTACGTCCTCTCTCTCACCGTCCCGCAGACGATCACCACAAACACGCCCACGATCTCGCAGCTAACGAGCGGGGACTGTGTGCTTCTTGCCAACAGCCTGCAAATTGGAAAAGCGCAAACCTCCGTCCACTGGTGAGGAAAAAGAAATCGAGTTCCAACATCAGCCCGACTGGACGCCACCCACCTGTAGTGATGCTGGTCCCACACTTGAAAGTGTTGTCCAATCAGGAATCAGAGCGCCGCGTGCACAGCCTCTCTGCAGGTAAGTGGTGCGGGCGTGCCGCGCGCCTCGTGCCCGCGCACCTCAAGAAAGTTGCAGAGATAGGCTTTCCGGTCACCATGCAAAGCTTTTTTCTTTTAATTTAGCTGCTGTTTGATTGCGTTGAGCAGTCGTGCAAAGAATAAGAAAGAGTCAGTTAAAGTTTCGTGTCTTCTCTTTCCGCTTCTCCCCTGGAATGCAGCACTCTTCAAAGTATGCGAATTAAAATGTGCAGTTTGAACCGGGGTCTTCTGGCTGTGTTGGAGCCTTTCGTGAGGATGAGTTGTTACAGAGCTTTTGGAGTGGCGCGGGTTGGAGACTGTCACGCTCTTTCCTGCCTGAATGCCTGCCCGTCTACTTTTACAACTCATTTGTTTGACAGCTATTTGTCCGACATCGAGCTGGGTTACGACTCCCTGACCCTGTGCTTTGGGTTTTTATTTAACGCTGCTGCCTTATGGCGACTTCCGCCTGAAACAGGTAATTAGAGGCTTTTTCTTGCGACTGGAAAGCGAAACCTGGTCACCCTGTTGTCCCTCAGCCTAATATGTGTTCATAGTTCTAATGAAGATGATGTGAACAAAATCATCACAGAGTAAAGTGTGAATTTGGTGAAACAAAAGGGATAGTTGGCGGCGCCTTTTTTTAGACAATGAGACCTGAAGCTGAGGAGTTTTCTCCAAATTCTTCTGCAGGGGGCTAATTACAATTAGAGACAGTGAGAGAGACATTGTAACAACGAAGAAATGATAACATCCAGGCAATAGTTCCTGGTATGACATTTACATTTATGCATGCAGCAGACGCTTTTAACCAAAGCGACTTACAAAAAGATAGTTTAACATTCAATTGCAACAGACACTTACCTGACCTTGATTGCAACATCCTTCTAAAGGGTTTAACATTAGGATTTAACATTCAAATATGACATAGATAACACAAGTACCATACACTGAGGGCTACATCCTATCAGGAAATAAGAGCATTTAGAGCTTTCATGACAAGAGATACTCTCGGATGAGCTGGGTCTTCAAGGATTTTTTGAAGGAGGAAAGAGAATCTGATGCTCTATTAGTGCTTATTAGGTCGTTCCACCTACGTGGAACTGCAGATGAGAAGAGTCCAGATTGACATTGGTCGTGTTAGCTTGCTGTCCTTGGAGGAACGGAGTGGGCGAGCGGGGACATTGGGTATTAAGAGGGTGTTGAGGTAGATGGGCGCAGATTCATCAAACACTCTGTAGGCCAGCATCAGTGATTCAAATTTGATGTTAGCAGCTAAGGGAAGTAGATGGAGTTCTGTGAACAGGGGTGTAACATGTGTTCTCTTTGGCTGGTTGAAAACCAAACAGGCTGCAGCATGCTGGTTCATCTGCAGCGGTCTCACATCACAGGCTGGAAGGCTTGTTAGCAGGGCGTTACAGCAGTCGTAACGGGGGATTATTAAGGACTGTACTAGGGGCTGTGTCACATGTTGAGTTAGATATGGCCTAATCTTCCTGACGTTGAACAGAGAGAACCGGCACGATCGAGAAACAGAGGCAACACGATCAGCAAAGGTCAGTAGACCATCAATCACGATGCCCAGGTTTCTTACAGTCTTTGTGTTGTTGCCACAGATAGTGAGTCTAACCTGATGCTGATGTTGTGATGTGTAGTTGGTTTGGCTGGGATGACGAGCAGTTCAGTTTTGGAAAGATTCAATTGGAGGTGGTGATCGTTCGTCCATGGAGATATGTCAGAAAGACAGTCCGAGATTTGCGTTGGTACTGAGAGGTTGTCTGGACGAAAGGACAGATAGAGCTGGGTGTCATCTGCATAGGAGTGATAGAAGAAGCCATGTGACTGGATGATCAGGCCCAGCAAAGTGGTGTACAGCGTAAAGAGGAGAGGACCCAGAACTGAGCCTTGGGGCACCCCTGTGTTGAGGTAGTGTCGCGTCGATGTTTGGCCTTGCCATGACACCTTGGAGGATTGTCCAGTTAGTCTGTTACTGACAGGAGCGCCATTTCCATGGCTGTGGATTGGTTAGAATCCAGGAGGTTATGTTGGGAGAGGAATTTTGTGACCTGCTTTGAGAAGGCTCGTTCAATGATTTTAGACTGGAAGAGGAGGAGGGAGACCAGTCGGTGGTTCTCCACTTGAGTGGGGGCGAGGGAGGGTTTTTTGAGTAATGGACTTACCTGGACTTGTTTTTAGGCAGTAGGGAATGTACCTGTAGTTTCTGAGGACTACTGAGTTAAGACAAACTGCAACAAACTGCAACTTTTTCCTTCCGTAATGCTCTGATATTAGATCATAAATAATTGAATAGTACAAAAGTAGAATATAATAGCCAAAGACAAGTTTCCAAATGGCTTGCTAGGGTAAAATTGTTATATCTAAATATCACAAAATGCACGGACGTCTACTTCCCTGAGGCACAAGAGAAACTGCAGCGCACAGCACAGTCCTGTATATTATATAGAACATTCATTCTGAACTACAGTTACGCATGAGCAGGTGGAAAACACGTATGTATGGATGTGAGCGTGTGCGTGTGCCACAGAGGTCTCAGTAAGATAACGGCATTCTCTGTGATAAACCCTATACATCATTTACCGATCAGCACCATGGACAGCAGCTCTGTGGCGGCGTTAATACAAGAAACAGTGAGGGCTTCCAAAGCCGCAGGAGACCAATTATAGTTGTTATGCAGTACTGGAAATGCTCAGGCGATGTCGAGGTTTCTGACCAGAAGCTGATTTACACTAGAGACAAATAAATTGGAAATTTAAAAACATCAAAATGGGAGAGTCTGAAAGCAGGCAAATCTGCATAACAAATGTAACTTTATTTATCTCAATTTTTTCCCCTTTCCGGCTTTGCAGTTTCACCATAATCTGAGGTTAAAAAAAAACATGCTGAATGAACACAGGAAAGCAGCCTTCAAAGCAATTTACCCAATTCTGACAGCGATAGGATTTCGAGGTAAATGCAGCACTGCCACTCAAGTTTTCATAACTCTTCATGCTTTGATATAATTTATTAGTAATACATTTATTGACAGTTTCTGTTTCTCATTGCATCACTTAAATAGGTACTGGCTTACAGAAATAAAACAGCTGACTGGTACAGAGCATCAACACTCCCTTCCTATCAATAAGGCTCTTCCTTTTAGATTTTATTTGAGAATGATATAAATCAGTCCCCCCTTTTCTGGATCTAGTTTTAGTGTCTGCATATGTACTAGCCAAGACGAGATTTTGTATTTATTATTAAAAACGTAGGAATAATATTTTCATTTGATTCAAAACTCAAAATATTATAGGAAGCTTTCGCAAATTCTTTGAGTTTCATAATGAAAGAGTCCAGGATATCTAAGCTTAATTCAAAGTGGGCTTCACTTGCACAAGGCTTATTTATTCCAACACCACTTTTGATAAGGGAGTCTAGACAGGGGAGAAATCATCGACTTCTTGCTGAAAATCCAATTTCCCTCCCTGTTGGCCTTCCCTTCTTCTCATTAAAATACCAACAAAGTTGACCACAGGAGCCATGGGACAGTGAATAAATCTCTGCTCTTAACACAGCTGATTTAATGGTCCCCAGGATTACTGGGGCTGGAAGTAAACATTTTCAGGGGCACAGGCCTCAAGTGGAAAGCCAAGCCCCGTTGTGATAACGACTTGAATGACCAGAGGAAGCAGCCCTGTCGCCTGAAACAGTTCCTCCATTTAATGATGTGTAAGCTGCTGGAGGGTTAACATGAGTGCACGATACTGAATACAGGCAGCAGCACTCTGCCCTTAACCTTAACTTCCACTACTCTACATCACCTGGAATAACCTGACACAGGTGCCTGCAGGAAAATGACCAGTATATTGTCCTTTTTAACCCATAGGTAATGTCTGACTCGAACACCTGGTGAGGCCTTTTCCAAAAAAACACTTTTTTAAAAATCAAACAACTATGTTGGATCTAAGAGTCACGACCATTTAAGTTTAAGTGTTTCAAATTGAGATCTTTGAATGTGTTTAGACTTGTAAAATATTTCGATTTGTTTGTGAGTTATTTCTATTCCATTTTTGGCAGCAAAAATCATTTAAAAAAATCATAATCTTTGCAATAAACGTATGTTTTATGAAGTGCTTTTAGAAAAGAAAAAGAAAAGACCTTGATCTACTGAGCAGTTTCTCTTCCCAGGGAGAAAAACACGCACAGCTTTTCTGTGTGTCACTGACAATTTATGCATTGCAAGCAGTTGTTTCAACTTATGAGCCTATGATTCTGGAGCTCAGAGTGAGATCTGCAGCCCTCACCATGATTGTATTGCTGTTTGTTCTTTATAGTTTGAATTGGTTGAGGGAAATTTGCAGAGGACTTTGAGGAAGTCCCAAGAGGCACAATGTGAATGTATCACATCAGCACATTTATAGTTCTTCTCTTAAAAAAAAAAAGTAATGTCCAACATTTTATGCAGTGTGAGGTTTTTCTTCATGGTATAAACCTAAACTGAGGCACTTTTCGGCAAATTAAACAGGACTTTAATAGCAATAGTTCAAGACAGTATTTCTGTGGATTACCCAGGCTGAGTCACATTTACTCTTCATTCATCATCACCCAGCAGTTTAATAGTCAGTCACAGAATGAGAGTGATCAAGTTTAAGTTTTTGGACATATTAGCAAACAAAATCATTTTAACTTCAACCACCTCTATGAACATGTTTAAGTACTCTACTACAAAGGACACTCTTTTACTGTTTAGGTTTATCACATTGGGGCGGATAACGCCTGAACCAGATACTATAATGAGACATTTGATCTGAAAGAGCAGTAGGAAAAAATATGTGAGTGTAT